TGATTTTTTATTAGTGATATGATGGGATATGTGTGGTTGATAAAGAAGTAAAAATTATTGATGTTTTGGAATATATTATTTTATTTTATCATACCGCTGTATTTTATAGTTTATTATTTTTTCGTTTTTATAAGTTGATTTTGAGCTTTGAAGTAAAGTTTTGTTTGTTGCCTTGTTTAATTGATTTTTTATATTGTCAGATTACAAGAATGACAAATGTTTTTATACTCTTTGTTTGTTGCCCAGTAATTTCATATTTTATTTTTATATATATTTTTTCAATATAAAGAATCGAATCAAATCGGAACCGATTGATTTGATTCCATAGTTGAATATGGAACAAATGATTCAATTTCTAAGATTCTCATTGATATTCGATTCGATTCGATTTCCTCTGGGTAAGATCGAACCAGATCGCGTCCACTAGAAGACAAATGAGTGCATATTGAGAGCACGGTCATCTAAATTTATTAGGGTTTTTTTTCTTCTTATTATAATTACTTATTATCGAAGGAAAGTAACTTAATTTGAAAGGGCTTATTTTTGCAAATTAAAGTCAATTATATTTTGAAAGTTAAACCATCATAAACCTAAAGATATATGGGGAAAAAATGAATTTTCAAATCGCAAATTGTTAAATTAGCTTAAAATAAATTTATATATAGTCTAAAATTGAAACTAGAAAGTTCTAAATTTGAATCGGATATTAGAAAAATACATACTGGATAGTATAAAATTTATTGAATTCAAAATCAGCACGAATCAAGTTCGTATAATTACGAATTTTTTACAATTTTTTTATGAATTTTTTTTCATATTTTAAATATATAAATTAAACTTCAGCATATGGTTTTCGTCCATTTAAATGGGTTAATTTTTTTGTTCTATTTAAAAGCTAACTCATCGACTTTTCTAGGTTTGATGCCCTCTCGTCTAGCAATCGGGAGTAGGATGGGTGGTTTGCATGCCCTAGACAAAGGTGAATAAACGCTCAATCTTGCTACAGTGATCTATCAATGACATGATCAATAACAGAGAGGACACGTGTCAATACATAATTGGACAATTTTAAAAAAAAAAACCATAAACCATTCTGCTACACCATCATGTCACCTCCCTTCGTGTCATTGCCCTTGTCAAGTGGTGGTAATGGGCCGAGCTGGCTCGTCAAAGGGATGAGCTGAGCTCAAGCACGGCCAAGCTCGAGGTCGGCTCGAGCCAAGCTTTTGAGCTCACGAGTCGAGCCGAGTCGAGTCCATGAGCTTGAATTTTTTAATTTCTTTTTTTTTTTCCACATTTTTCATTAATTCATGAGCTCCGAGCTTTGACGAGCCAAGCCAACTAGCTACTTGACCATTTTGCCACTCCTACCCTTGTCCAAGGAGCATTATTCATAAACGCTAGTTGCGTCGAAGTTCAGAAAGGCATGAGAAGGAGTTTGGCGTCAAAGACTTGCAATTTAAATCTATGATGTTATTGTTGGAAATATGTAATAAAATCTGGAAAAAATTAATGAACTCCAAGGCACGAAAAACGTTATCTTTTAAGAGATGTTTCTCCCCATTCCAACAAAGTCACGACCGGAGTATGATAGAAAATCTCTCTCAGGATACAATGGAGGCGTTTGATTCAAATTGTGACTATTTGATCAAACCAAGAAAACACTCTATAACGAAACTGATAATGCCAAGACAAAAGAGAGAAGAATAGAAAATAACGAATTTTTTAATGTATCTTGCAAATGAGAATTCGCCCAGAATATATAGAAATGGAGGCAACCTTTTGAATAGGTGTGTCCCTTGAAATGAATGGACGCATCTGTTAGAAGAAATATACCTATTCAAAGTTTTCTGAAAATAAAATTCTCTTTCGGGGGCGTTGTCCCCCGAGCCTCCACCGGGGACGCTGTCCCCTCGACCCCTGCGACCTGACCGTGCAGGTCGATCCCTGTTGCGTAGTGGCAAACACTAGCCGGAGCGGCAAAACATTCGTAAAACAAAAGATAACACATGCAAAATGATGAAAAATATCTAATAGTTATTTACATAGATAGTAAGAATGAAAAGCCCTCTCTATTTGTACTAGTAGTCAGATGAGCTATAGCTCACAATGCAATCTTGGAGAAGGGTTAGGAGGGAAAGCAACCTTGTCGATTGAAGTAAAGGATCCCATGACTAGAGCTTTTGTTTTGCGGAATTACTCGCCTCGCACCGAACCTATGTGCTTATGATTTCATTTTTCAGGAAATTCACGCGATGAAAAATCCCGAATTTGAGACTTTCTACCCCAAAAATACTCTTCAAACTTTCAAAATATGTAGCTTAATTTTTTTTTTTTATCGTATATAGTTACTGAATTTACAAAATTGTTTCAATTAAGTCACAGCAACAATTTTTCATAATTGGTGATTTTTCACTGTGAAAAGTAGTTTTTAACCATAGTTTGGTAACTGACAAAAGTTTAGAATTTAATGCACCGAAAAAATAAATAAAAGTTGAAGCCGTTATTATCAAAATCCATTCACCACTTCTTGCGCATCCCTGTCTTAATACTCTGTCCCTGCCATTGCCAGCTCTGAGAGAGAGATTGTTGAAATGGGATCTTCATCGGAGGATGAGGGTGAGGAGTACTTGTTCAAGATAGTGATTATCGGAGATTCAGCTGTCGGCAAGTCAAATTTGCTATCTCGCTATGCCAGAAACGAGTTCAACTTGCATTCAAAGGCCACAATTGGAGTCGAGTTCCAGACACAAACACTCGAAATTGATGGCAAAGAAGTTAAGGCTCAGATTTGGGACACCGCCGGCCAGGAGCGATTCAGGGCCGTCACTTCTGCTTACTACCGCGGTGCCTTTGGTGCTCTTATTGTTTACGATATTAGTCGAAGCTCTACATTTGATAGTATCCCTCGATGGCTTGATGAACTCAAGAGTGAGTATGTTTATCCTAATGTTGAATTTCGTCTCTATTTTTTTTAGGTCACCGACTTTTGGATGCTAATATAACAGAAATAGATTAAGATTGAAGTTTCGTGATTGTCAATTTTTTTGTGTTTACATTTGATTGCCTTTTTGTGATTGAAAAGATATGCACAAGAATTTAGGCTCAACGTGTAGCACGAAGTGATTATGTAAGTTGTTGAATTCGTTACTTTTTAGAAAGCGTTGCATTAGAGGAGCAGGGTACAACTTCTTCATCGATATGCGCAATTTTTTCATCTTGTACTTTCTGCTAAATGGCTTGAACTTTATGTTGTATGGTGGTGAAAAGATATCATTTATCATTTTACACATCTCCATTTGGTTTATTAAGCGACAGATATGTTGTATATTGCATATACCTTGTGGAGATACTTTTTACGAAATCGGGCCCCTTAAGAGTTATATTGTATTATATAGATTTAGAAAAATGTTAATGCTAGCGTGATGGACCCATAGGCAACAATAAATGGAGCCAGATCTGAATGTATTACCCTTTAATGTATGTGATGTGATAACACATGGGTTATTGTGCTGGTTAAAGCATATACAAAAATGCTGTGGCCTGTGAGTACACCAGAAATTTGAATTTTACTCACATTGATTTTTCTATCCACCCCCCCCCCCCCCCCGGCCCCCCTATTGTTTCTACCCTGTATGGGTAGCAGAACTCAAGCTTATATAGATCTGAGTAAGTTATTTGTGTTTTTATTATTTGGGCAAAGGGGAAAAGGTAACATGTTTAGTAATTTGGTGTTGGTAAGCAAAGATTTACATTTTCTTAATGGAGGGTTGGTGTGGGGGTTGTTTAAAGAGTAACAACTTAACCTTTTTTGGTATTTTGTTGACTGTTTATATTCTGCAGCACCTTAATATATGTTTTTTTAAAATAAGTAAGACTGAAGAATATAATAAATAATATGGAAGGATCATTCACCGCAATGAGAGAAAAGGCACGTGGATCTATTTTATTGCTGAATCTTTCACATTGAAAAAAAAAATTCAAGATTTGACTACTAAGGTAATGTTTATGAAAAATATCTGTACCGGAGCTTAATTACATAAAACAGTATCGGGTGAACAAGTAAAGGGTAGTAGCATTTGCATGACATGGGTTTTAGCTTATGAAATGTGTAAGATGTCACTTGTAAAAATGAATATTGATATCTTTATACATGTATATGTGGAAGAAATGTAATTGATGTCACTTGTAAAAATGAATATTGATATCCTTAGACATGTGGAAGAAATGTAATGTGTTTGAATTTTATACATTGCGTTGACACTTGCTACTTGCTTGGAATCATATACCATTAGTACTCTTTAAGTTGTTAAAACTCCTGTAATTCTTAAATAGTGAGCAATTAACGACTGCATTGCAACATCTAAATCCCGAAATCAACATATGACATACTTTTCACTTCTTTTTCAATGTTTAGTAAAACTCTAAATTTATAGTTGGATGTTTGTCTCATGTTTTTTTCTTTTTTGGAATATAAGTACTCATTGTAGGCCCATTTTAATTGGACCAGCATGTACCTATTCGTCACGGGACCTCTTTTCGGCAATTGGGCCAGCTGAAAATGAATGCAAACCTGCTTGTTTCTAATAGGGCTGGTTGAACCCTAATTTACTGTATTAAGGGGACCAATATTCCATTCTAAAGTTTGAATCATTTCTCACATTGACTACTCCTAAAACTTTTGAAAGCTGGTAAAAGCAATATTATATCTCAAGAGACTGAAAAAAGGAGCAGAAAGCTTTTTTTTTTTTTATGCAATTAGCCGATATGAAGCCCTCGGAGTGTGTTACACTTTGTTGAAATCTTAAAGTACATTAAACCATTATAGATAGTGGCTATTATGGGCGACATTGTTACACCATATGTAAATTGTGCTTCAAACAATATTCTTTTACAATTATCAGTGCCTCTATATGATCTTTTTCAATCTCATTTGTTTTATATACATTGCTAGGGGTCTAAGGTTGGAATGTACAAGTTTGAATGAATAGCATGTTTACATGTTGCTAGTATATTTAACAAAATTGTTTTGTCTATAGATAATAGTGGTGCAATAGAAGCACGGTAGGTCCTATATCCAATAGATCCCAAGTTCAGCACTTGACTTAGGCTATCCAATGCCAAAGCATTCAACATTATAAAAAAGAACCTGTAAACATAACAAACTGGGTGCCAAGTTTCATGGATGCGTGTACAATTCATATTCAATAGGGTCATTGGTGCATATTATGTGTTGATGATATAGTTTTAGTAGAGGAGACTAGGATGGAGATAAATCGTAGGTTAGAATTTGGAGAATTACTTTAAAATATTGAGGTTTTAATTAAGTAAAACTAAAATGGATTACACTGAATGTCCAACTAGTTGTGGAAGAAATAAAAGTGATAGTTGAGTCATTGTGGAGAAAAGTGGAAGTCCAAATAGTGATCGCTTTATGTATTTTAGGTTTGATTATTAACAATGGAGAAAGACTTGAAGATATATTAATGCGTAGGATTAATGCAGGTTGGATGAAATGGAGAAGTTTTACATGAATTATGTTAAGGTTAAAAGGCAAGTTATGCAAAACAATATTAGACCAACTACGTTTTATAGTACTGAGTGTTAGGCCATTTGAAAAATGTCATAGGATGAATATTGTGGAAATGTCAATGTTGAGAAGGATGTGAAGCTTTATTATGATGGATAGGATAAGGAATGAGAATAAACGCTAACAAGTTGAGGTGACTCTCATTGTTAGATAAACTAAGGATCTTGTGAGTAGTAGGGCTTTTTTTACATAGATCTTAAGAAACTCCTATCCACAAAAAGTGATGCCAAAAAATGAAGAGTTAGACCAATATAATAACATGCAATTTAGGAGCCTTGGATATGAAACAACAGAGTCTCGGTAGAATTTAACGTTTGCAATTAGTGAAAACTTGTGCTAGAAGGGATTAGTTTGGAACATGAATAGGATCTTCCCTTACCACCTATCACTAGGTCGGCCCGTTGGATTATAGTACTCGACGATTCTATTAGTCTGGTAATGGTATCCCCCTTCCTCGAACATTAAGCCTGGGGGCAATCAGTCTTACTGGTAGGTTTGGGCGTCAGGTGGTCAGTCTGAGTATTTCAATACCCGGAAGCACCCATTATACTTCGAATATTTCGTAAATAGAACCATTCGGGTCCTTGTAAAAACTGTAACCAAACCTGAACCGTTGGTTTCGATTCAATTTCGATTCTATCCAAACATATTTTATATACATTCAATAAACATTTTCTTATAAATTCTTTTGTACATATACCTACATGCTACTATTCGAAAATATTTGTACGAGGGAGAAAGTTCAGCTAAAAAATCTTGGATAAGCAAAAATTTAGCTTGACATGTTGATTCATAAAAATCCAAATTATAAAGATTAACATGTACTAACATCTAAGCCCCTGTTTGATCCACATTCTATAAAAATTCATTCTCAACCACACATTTTTCAATAAAATAATATTTTTCATCACATCTAAAACTTTTCTTTATTTTTTAACCACACATTCTCCATCAATCTACTATTTCAAAATACATTCTTCCAAAATAATATGGCTCAAACACACCCTAAATGCAACAATCTAATGTGAGTTGAGATGTAAAAAAAGTAGAAGCTAGTCTTGATTTTTTAGGGTTAAAGTCTAGAGTTTTAGACTAATTACTACCCAAATTGAGGTTTTTAGATTTTGTATTTTTTTTTACCTAGCTTATAAATTGTAAATAAAAAATTATATATATATTTTTTGATAACCGTGGATGTCCGGGTCAGTTTGCGCGCACCTCGACTAATTCCACGGGGCCCTGAAGTTTACGGCCGGGTACTCACCTCAGTGGCTTTGAGGGGACTCGAACTGGTGACCATTAGGGAGCAAACCCAAGACCTGGCCAATTAAGCAACTCCTCAGAGTGTAAATAAAAAATATATAAAAATCGATTCCACTCAGGTACCTACGGTTTTGGTTCAGGAACCAAAAATCGAACCGGATCCAATCGGTTATTGGTTATCAATTCCAGTTCCAAATTTATTTTTTTGAGAACCTCTGGTTCTGGTTTGGTTTTGATTCGGGAGATTCGGTTTTGGTTAAAATGCCTAGGTCTACTTACTGGAATTCCTTCCTCAAAAAAGCTCTTTCAAGTCTCTGTCTTTAGGAAGGAAAGCCTGGGGAAGAGGTACTATTTGTTGAGCCAGGTGCAGATCATAAATGAACCAAAAATCCATAGCCATATTCCCCTAAGACTGACCTCTTTTTCAAATGAACCGAACCTCGATACCACATTCATCATAGAGATATGGTTTCTGCTTTGACAGTAGAGAAAGATGAATTTCCCGCTGTGTTATTAATCTTTTAAAAGACGAGACCATCGTTTAGAGTGTTTTATGGGCTGAATTTTCTTGGAGGAAACATCCAATCTAGTTGATCTTTATGATTCACGATCATATTTGGTTTTTGTGATTTCTGGGATCTCAAATGTCTCAAGGTGAGAGTATCAAATGAATAGCACTTTGCATATTATCTCTAACATATAATATAAGAGATTATCCAATGAATATTCAAGCAGTTGCTATCTACCAGCCTTTTCAATGGCATATCTCAGATAATTATAGTTTGCTCACAAAAATGACATTTTACTGATGAAAATGGGAATAAACAAAAGGAATAATCGCCTGATGACTCAGCAAAATTTTATTTATACACCTTTAACTTACATTATGCTATTAATACAATGTTCATTTGGTCTTATATGCTTCTTGAGCCGAGTTTCACATTATGCTCCAGTTTTACATCTTTTATACCCATCTCATACTACTTTATTCTTTAAATTTCTAATGACATATGATCCAAATTATACTCTTCATACAGCTCATTCTGATACAACTATTGCAAGGATGCTTGTGGGGAATAAATGTGATTTGGAGAATATAAGGGCTGTAAGTGTTGAAGAAGGCAAAAGCCTCGCGGAAACAGAAGGGTTGTTTTTTATGGAGACTTCTGCATTGGATTCAACAAATGTTCAGAAGGCTTTCGAAATTGTTATTCGTGAGATTTATAATAATGTCAGCAGGAAGGTCTTGAATTCTGATTCTTACAAAGCAGAATTATCGGTGAACAGGGTTTCCCTCGTTAAAGATGGCAGCGAAGTATCTAAGAAGACTCAAGGATCGTACTCTTGTTGTTCAAGGTGAAAAAGGACCTATTTCTTTTTCAAATGTGTACTAGCCAGTGAATTTCTTATGGTTACTTTATATATTTGATTTGTTTCTTCATTTATTAATGTATACTATTTTGGCATATTCGGTACATTGGATTGGACCCGATGATGTTATAGGAAAAGATGCTGGAATTCTGTGTAGTTGTTTAAAGTTAAGTCTGGCCGCCTTTGCTTCAAATTGAAGGCCTCTTCTACCTTAAAAATAGCATCCCTACTCACCCTTAAGCTGTATATGTCACATCTTCAACGTCGTCTTCTATATTATCCTCGACGTATTTTACATCCTCTATGCAATTTAGAGTAGTATCATCATCCTCAATGGAAGCTCTTATATTCCTAGTACAAGAATGACTAAGAGATAAGGACTAAATTTAACATGATCTTATTTAATCTTAGCACATAAAAGTGTGTTCAAATAAAAATAACACAAATCTAATTATCCTCGTTATGTAATGCTCCAAAGTGGATATTTGGAAGGTCTAAAAGTCCACCCCAACTGCTCATAAGTTGATATGCCATCTAAAAAAACTCAGCGTAAAAGGAAAATTTTATTAATTATAAGAATTCAATTTTAGAATCATGACAGGACAGAAGGAAATAAATACATCATCTTTTGAATTGAGAAAGAAAAAACAACCAAAATAAGCTGAGTGATAATGACATAGAAGCGGTAGTTGCATATATAGGCTTCTAGAAGCTCTTGCCCTCCATGATTGATAGATAAAGACTGTAACTCCTTTTTCTGGATAGACTTTTGGAGCTTTAGAGTTAAGCCACTCATTGAGATCTCCAGTGTCTTGCCATTTCGAAACCATTCTTGCTGTAATAATAGTCTTCGATGGTCTTGTCTATTTCAGCTTGTGTGTTCATCACAAAAGGACCATGCTGAACCACTGGTTCATTCAGTGGCTGCCCACCTACCAAAACAAATCTCAATGGATTGGAAGATTTGTTCCATACACTTAGACCCTCACCCGGACCAAAAACTAAGACATGGTGTGCCTTTATGGGCACTGATTTCTGAAGACCAAAGGCCCCTTCACCTTCAATTATGTAGACAAAAGCATTCCAAGATTCTGGGATGCTTTGATGATGTTGAGCATTGGGTTTTAGGGTGAAATCGAGATACATTGTTGGAGTTCGAGTGTAAACTGGAGATTGAACCTCCATCGATTCTCCTGCAATGATTTTGACCTCGACCCCGTCTTTCTCTGCCTTTGGGATGTCCTCACTCAGTAGTTCTTGGTATCTAGGTTCAATCCTGCAGAATGAACGTAATGAATATTTTTTAGTGTTACCTACATGTGCAGGACACACTTATACACACAACATGTTTGGTGTGAAATACTGCGGGATAGTACAATGGTTAAGAGATAATTATACGAAGGACCTTGATGGCATGTTGTCGTAACTAACAAATTTGTCACGTGTCTAACTTCCTTGATTCTGTCTAAATCCTATTTAACTTAGCATACCAACCATGCACCGAGAGGTAGTCAGAAGAAGCCTGTGTAACAAATCTTTTGGCTTCTGAAAACATTTAAAGGATAAAGAAGTAAAAGAGAGATTATGATATCTTACATTTTGTCTTTGGATGAGAGATTTATCCACAACTGCAAACCTCTTTGAGTACCTTCTCCTGCAGGCATTTCCGAGTGAATTATACCCCTTCCTGCAGTCATCCACTGCACATCACCTGTTCGTATTGTGCCCTTGTGACCCGCAAAATCTTGATGAGTGAACGTGCCCTAAACGTAGAAGACAAAATTTCAACTTCTCCAATAGAAAAAAAGTTTGTTTATAAGTAACTTTTAAGCTAAAATGTGCTCTAACTTGTAAACTCAGCAACTTACTTGTAGCATGTATGTAACAGTCTCAAAACCTATAAGACAACATAAAAATTCACTGAGATTGATGAAATGTAGAAAACAATCTGAGAAATAATATTGAAACAGTCTAAATAATGGTACAAGTACCTCTATGTGGATGGTCAGGAAATCCAGCAGGAGGTGTAACTGCAATATCAAACAGTAAACACTACCAAGTCATACAATTTTCATAACAGACATTATTGAAAGAACTTTATCATTTTTTTCAAAACGGGTTTTTTTAGTTCAAGATCAATATTCGAGAAACAAAACCGAGGTCAGAATATCAAGAATGCAATTTGCATTTATCTGGCTTATTTTTGTTTCTTTTAAGTGTCCAATTATCTATAATCCTTCCTACCAAACATGGCACGCATAATTAATAATCATATAATTCACCTGCAAATTCATCCAACATAAGGAAGGGATCCAAAGACTTCAACTCCGGCCTGCAATTAATAATCTGTAAGCTACTATACAGTCTATACTAATACACATATTTCAAGTTTAAAGACAGCTAAATATTCTTAATATATATTGAGTGCTCGATCAAATTCCATAACCAAAACATAGTAATAGAGTATAAATAGAATCGAAACAACCTTAATGAAACAGTACCCAATTGACAGAATTACAAAAAGATTCAAGAAAACAACAAAATGTGTGTTTAATACCTTCCAATGCTTCTTCTAACAACAGCACCATCGCCTTCACTCTGAGGCTTGGCCAAGATTTTCTTGGCAACCAATCTGGGCCGTTCAAATCCAATACTTGTATTTGTATCTGATGCAGACATGATGATCTTTCTGAAATAACAAGAAACCGGATTCCTATTCGTCGTGTTGATTCTGGTAATTGTGAAGAATCTAGATGCAGCTCTCATAAACAAATTCAACTTTCAAGGCTGTCTCTGTTCTAAGTTCTTACACGTTCCACTGCATATATAATATATATGTATTGGGTCTGTCTTTGTGTATTTATAAAGGAAATTTGTGAAGGGGAACAGTTGGAAGAGAATTAAAAAAAGGGGTTTATTCGATTGGAAGCGTGGAGAAATTTGGAGGGGAACCCAAATATCAACCTTGGACTGGTCACCTGATGACGTCGTCCTTGTGTCATCGTGATGGAGGCCTTGGTTTCTATTTGGAAAATCACCCTTTTTAATTTTTATTACGCCTCCAAGGTATTTGGAGAAAGGAAATTAAAATTCTGTTTGGTGCATCCATACGAACTACGATCAATCCAATTTATACAGATCGAGGAAGAACTAAATAGTAATAGGGACGGCAAAATTCTTCGTTCCTAACTCGTATTATCCCACCATGAATAGTAAATGGGACGGAAACGGGGATAGGATCATGGATCTCGTCCTAAATCTTTATATTTTATTTTTATATTTTATAATTTCAATTGTATTTAAAAAATAAAGAAATACATTTGAAAAAATAAATAACTAAATATGATGATAAATGAGGATTTTTAATACCCAACTTGATCCAGGTGATCCTGCCTCTCAAACTCTTTTGACAAGACCGGGATCGTAATGATCGTCCCAATCTCATCCCATCACCCACACAGTTGACATCATTAAATAGAAAACAAGATTACGGAGTTACTTTAAAATAGTGCTATGTACTATGACCAGATAATTTAACATTTTGTAAATGGACTACTTATTGAAAAATCAGAGAAGAAATACAAATTCGTACTTCAACAACTATAATTCTTTCCTCCTCCTACGACTTGGATCAAGTTGCCCGAACTATGCATTTTTTTAAGAAGGGTTAAGTGACTATCGAGAGATATGATATGTATAATATCGTAGCTTAAAGAGTATTATAAAACTTCTTTTATGTATAACCGATGTTAGTATTTTCTTCACGTACTATTTATATATAACTTTAGTTAGTATTGGTGTGTTTAATTTATTACGAAAAAATAATGGACGAAATTTTTTGACTTATTTTTTTTTCATGATTTGATTAATTTCAACGTTGTAAATTAGTGATGTAATTTCCATTGCTTATTTTCATGTTTGAAAGGATTTGTTAATGTCTTATTTGGTAAAATTTTGTAACAAGTCAATTCTGATTTTTTATATCAAAATAATGTAGTTGTTAAGTGGATCTGATTCGATCCGATCTTATCCGATCAGATCCGATCCGATGGCATAGGGTCTCCATATCGTTATTATTATTTATTTATTTTTAAATACATGAAATCCAGCTCAATGTTTGAATGAATTATAATTAATAAGTCAAAAAAATTTGGCAATTAAATGACACCATTCATACTCAAGCATTACGTTTGCTTCTTTTTTTAACAACCAAACTCAATTATAACTATTCTTTAAATAGGTTCGATTGATGACCTTTGAAAATATTTATTAATAGTATTGGTCAAAATGAATATGCCACCTTAGTTGAGTTGTTTTTCTTTTACTTAGGTCTAAGAATACAATAAATATTCATTGTTCTAATTTTAAATAGACCATAAAATAAATAATACGAAGTTGGTTGGTGGTGAATTATTCATTTATTGTTAATCTCGGAGATTATAGAATCGATCAAATATAAATGTTGCTGATATATTTATCGAGGAACATTTTTTATCAGACCTGCTCTTAAATATTAGATTTTGAATATCTTTAACACGCGTCGTTAGAAAAAGTGATTTGACACGAATTGATCGTACATTCATCGAATTTGATTCTAGTAGTGGAATAGTGAAAATATACATCATAATATAAGATTACGACACCCAATTAAAGAATAGTTGTCCCATATTTAGAATTCCAACTATGTGAAATTTGCTAAAATGTCAATAATTTAGTCTATGTTTGGCTCTCTCTCAGTGCCCCACCCGCCATTGCCACCATAACACTATACGGCGTATACGTGCTCCATAGTTTCCCATACAAAAGAGAATTTAGACAAGATGTCTATTGGTGATAATTTTATGGTACCGTAAATAATATTTATTAGATTTTAAAAACACAATAAAAGTCAACGCTTCTAGAAGCTTGTATGATGCCATAACCATAATTAGGTTGACATTAAAATCGAAATGAAGATTTGGATATCCAAATATATCAAGGCATTAGGGTTTGTCCAATGTTATTCTAGTCGAGCGAGAAAAATTCAACGCACTCCACATTCAATTATAATAATTGATTAAGTCGACTACATAAATTATTTTCATCGTTTCACTCCACCATAGGTATATTTGACAATATATAATATCTTCTCATATGATTGAGACTGGACGTTTCAATTGGAATCAAATCGAGAATCGATTGTGTCTCGAAAAGATTCTGGTTTTTGAATTAGAACCATGGGTACCCGACTCTGAAATTGAATTTATCAGTTTTATAAGATTATTATTATTTCTTATATAATTTATTCACTTTGACCCAATGATCCTATGGGATGCAAAGGAAATGACGAGATCGAAAGAAAAAATGGCGATGTTAATTATTTTGTTGTTGATTAGGTAGCTCATATTTTTGTATATAGGGGGTAGTTGATGGAGTGTACGAAATAGGCCGATATGCTCGAACTCCTAGCAAAATTAACTAACCCAATGGGTTACCATGGACGCAGATAAGTCGGTGGAGCCCCTATTGATGAAGTGAATAAGAAGTTAAAATTTATGATGAAGTGGGATCGCAAGGCAAAATAGTGATTTCACGATAACTTCGGGTTTGTCCGTTTTTGACGAATTGATAGTCTAATTTGATTGGAAACGGGCCAAGGATCACAACTCATTGCCTTTGGCTATGATGTACGTCGGATTTCGGATAGATTCTGTCGTTTAGGCTCTCGATTAAGCGTTTTTGCCGTTTATGGTAATTTTTATTTTGGTAATATCTCATTCAATAAAATTCGGATTTTGATTTCGTTTGTTAGAGGACGATCCTGAATATTAGGAGTTTCCATTTAAGTCAAAATCTCGAATTTTTTCATTTATGGAAAAATATCGTTTTTTTATTTTTATTATTTATTTTCCGAATTTTTGCTAGGGTTTTACTATTTAAAGTATTGTAAGCTCTTTGAGGCGAATTATTGAATTGAATAAAAATTTTCGTGAGTTTTATTTCATCTTTATGAGGGTATTCATCTTTTCTATATTTTTCCGCTACATCATCTATAATACAATACTGTATTGTAAGGTTCTTATTCTATCCATGTTCTATATAAACAACCTCAAGTAACCATATTTGATGTTAGTGGATTATTTTGTATGTCGATCTTATTTTTTTATTTTTATTTTTATGTTTTGCACAACTGGTATTAGAATCGGATTTACGATATTTGGAATTTCTTCTACGAAATTCGATGTGGTCAAGTTCTACGAAACTAAGAATTTCGGATTACGGTAGAGGAAGGTAAAGGATGTGTGCACTAATAGGATATGCAGAAGGCGTTATAAGGAAAGAAACTAGAAGGCATAGATGACATAGATTGGAAGGAACTTGAAGCGAAGATTCTAGCGGCTATCACACTTTGTTTGATTGGCGATGTGATATATCACGTTATGGATGAGGAATCACCAACGACAGTTTGGTTGAAGCAAGAAAGTTTGTATATGTCCAAGTCATTGACGAACAAGCACTATCTTACGTAGAAAATGTACGATTTTAAGATGACGGAAGGCTAGGATCTGAGACAACATATCCACGTATTCAACCAGATTATTAGCTATCTAAAGTGGGTTGATATGAAGTCCGAAGATGAAAACAAGATGTTGAGGTTACTAAATTCCCTATAAGCTTCTGCTACATATAAAAAATTGGTTACAACGAGGAAAGAATCTCTGAATTTGGAGGAGATCACATGTGCTCTATCAAATTTTCATTAGAGGAAGAAAGTCATAGATCCTAGGGGTGAAGGGCTTGTGGTCAAGGGAAACAAAGAACGTGGGAGGCAACAAAGTCTTACCTAGCTCACTATTACTAAATCCGAGAAGAGGAAGGACATACAGTGCTTTCAAGTGTAGGAAAAAGGGACAAATAAAACTAGAATGTCCAGACAAGAAGGGAAATGATGAGAAAAAAGAATGTTTATCAAAGTCGAAAGGAAAATGATGAGAAAAAAGAACGTTCATCAAAGTCTATGAATCCAGTGAAAGAAGACGACTTAGAGAACGGTGACAATGATGTGATTCTTGTTTTATCTAGTTCAAATCATCTCACATATTCTTGGATTATATATTTTGCATGCTCTTATCAGGGACGGATCCATGACCAAATTACAGGCTGGGCTAATACGTAAAAAAAATAAAATTACACATGATTTTTTTTTTACATAAATTTTTTTTTCTAACTAAAAAAAAAATTATTTTGGGTCCGTCCCCGGCTCTTATCACATGATATTCAATAAAGACTGATTCGACACCTACATATTAGTAAATCATAGTTCTATTAGAATTAAAATGTTTGATGGTGTCGTTAGAACATTGTATGATATTAGACATGTATCGGATTTAAGTGAATTTTTCCTTTTTTTTTTTTTTT